AACAAGCCGTAAATGGGAAATTTCCACTAGCTCATGTGAGACAAGCACCGAGGTAAATGTCAGGACTGGGAAGGGATCAGTGACCACCTCATCCAGCGATTCCCTATCCATTGGGTGGGAACAACCCAAATTAACAAACAGGCACAGAAAGCTAAAAGGTTCCAACAGGAGAATGAATGTTGTAATAGAAGGGTCAAAAGAAGAACCCCTGCATTGGGGTGGTTAAAGAAGGTAAGACAGAGACTTAAGAAGTGAAAAAGAACCCCAAGAGGGAAAGATAGGGTAGGACTGCATGTAATGAAACTTCATTCATTCATCTGAAAATATTTTGTAATCCTTTTTATTATTTTAAATTATTAAAAACACTTTCTGCCTCAGCACATCAAATATGTCTGGATTTAATTGATGCCATAATATGTGATGCTTTATGACAGGGAGTAGACTTAGGTGACAACTAATAATTGTAAGGTGCCAAACTAGGCACTTTTACCTTCAGTGTTGTATTTAGCATTTACAAACCCTCTATAAAGGATGCATAGCCTCTATATGGAAGACGCAAAAATCTCCACTTAGAAGTAACAAACAAAGTTGGTAGCATAGCAAGATACAAAGTCAGCACCCAAAAATCAATAGCATTCCTCTATACAGACAACAAACTCAATGAGAGAGAAATTAGAGAAACAACACCTTTCACAATAGCACCCAAAAAATAAAATGCTTAGGAATTACTCTAACAAAGAAAGTAAAAGATCTATACAATGAAAATTACAATACTCTGAAAAAAGAGATCAAAGAGAATTTCAGAAAATGGAAAGATATTCCATGCTCCTGAATAGGAAGAAACAACACTGTGAATATGGCCATACTCCCAAAATTGTTATACAGATTTAAGGAAATCACTATCAAAATACCACCAATACACCTCACAGATATACAGAAAACATTTTTAAAATTCATTTGGAACCCGAAAAGAACTAGAATATAAAAGGCAATCCTGGCCAAAAAAGGCAAGGCGGTAGTCATTACAATCCTTGACTTGACCTTATATTACAAGGCTACTGTGATAAAATCAGCATAAAACTGGCAAAAAAAAAAAACCAAACCCTGAGGATCAGTGGAATAGATTATAAGATGCAGATATAACTACAAATATACTTAGCCACCTTATCTTTGATAAAGAAGCCAAACATGTTCCCTGGAAGAAAGATAACCTCTTTAACAAGTGGTACATGGCTCTCCACAAGATGAAAACTGAAAGTCGATCTAGGTCTATCACCATGCACTAAACTGAAGTAAAAATGAATTAAAGATCTAAACATTAAAACAGAAAGACTAAATCTACTTGAAGACAAAGTAGGTAGAAATCTTGAAGACATAGGGTTGGGTGGAGAGTCCAAGAGCAAAAATCAAACCAACATGGGAAATACTTCAAAGAATCAACTACTGGAATTTCATCTTATTGAGAAGTTTCTGCATGTCAAAAGACATCACTAACAGAGTGAAAAGACAACCCACAAATTGGGGGGAAAAAAACTTAACCAACACTCACTCAGACAAAGGACTTCTATCTAGAGTATACAAAGAACTGAAAAAAAGACCCAATGCAAAAATTGTCATCTAAGATGAATGTACACTTCTTAGGGAAAGAAATACAAATGGCAAAAAATACATGAGAAAATGTTCTACGGCACTTATCATTCCAGAAGTACAAATTAAAACACTGAGATACCACCTCACTCCACAAAGAATGGCCATCATAAAGAAATCAACTAATAACAAATGCTGGAGAGGCTGCAGTGTGAAAAAGGAACACTTCTCCACTCTTGGTTGGCACGTAGACTGGTACAACCATTATGAGAAGCAGTGTGGAGGTTCCTCAAGATAGTAGGATTGGAAGTTCCATTCAATTCAGCTATTCCCCTTTTGGGTATTTTTCCAAAAGAAAAATCATACTAGGGTGATATATGTGCAACCATGTTTATAACAGCACAGTTTTCATAGTCAAATCTTGAAAACAACTCAAAATACCCATGAACTGAGGAATGGAATAAAAAAATGCATTTTTTATATATATTTTTATATAATGGAGTATTTTATATAATGAAGTATTACTTAGGTATAAAAAAGATAAACTTGAGGCTTTTACAGGTAAATGGATGTAAGTAGAGCCTATACTCAGAAGTGAAATAAATCAGACCCACATATGTAGACCTTGTTTTGCCTTCCTAGTGTAAGAACCTGAAAGAATAAGTAAAACCTAAAAGGTAAAATAGAAAGAAACTGAATGTAAGGAATAAACAATGGAGATGAGGGAAAGGAGAAAAGGTAAGGAAAAAAGGAAGGGGAAAAATCATTTAAGTGTATATACAGGATGGTTTATCTGATTATACCGCTGATTTCTCCATTTTTTGAAATTCGCAGTTAATTTTTGAAATTTTTACTTTGACTAACTCTATATTCTAATATCTGTAATCACAGCAACTACACTGAGGGCAACAATGTGCAAAGTAACAACTACCACTGAATACCTTTCATTTTGTTCTTTTAAAGGTGTGTTGTCTCTCATACCTTATCTATTATTATTATACTCTTTAAAATAAATTTAAAAAGGAAAAGAAAATAAATTAAGTTTTGTTGAAAGGAAGAGCTAATGTTTAATTGCTCAGTCTTGCATGCCTATATCTAGTAATCTGAGCAACAAATCTGATAACAATAAGTAATATAGCAGCCATTCTTCATTTTCTATTCTTGCTTTGAAATTCTGTACCATTTGTATTGTTTCATGTTAGTTTTATGTTACTTTGTTTCTGTCTTTGTTCTTATTATTTGTTTTTGTGTTTTTTTCTTTTTTCCTCTTTAAAATAAAAAAATAGAGTTAAAAAAATAAAAGATGCATAGCAATTATCTTCAACTTGTAGATTTACAAACAACAACAACAAACTCTGTGGGTTAAAATATAAAAGGCCACCTAGGTAGAAGTCGTGTGGCATTAGCAAGTTATCAGAGACTAACAGTTGGTTCCCAGTACCTGCTGTCCCTTTCTTACAAGTCATAGAAATTTCAGTAAGATTCCCACTTGTGTATTCACCTTCTGACTTACAACTCTATGGGGCCATATGAATAAGTTCTGGCCAATTATCTAAGTAGGTAAGCAAAAATCATGCTTGCTGCAACTTCTGAGTTGTGTCCATAGAGGAAAAGAACTCATCATTTCCTTTTTCCTCCCTGCTTGTAGAAATTTACACATAGTAGTAATAACTGGCAAAGTCATCTTGAACCTCAGAATGAAAGCTTTGTGTTCAAAACAACAGCAACAAAATAGAAGGGGTCCAGGTAACTCATAGAATATTAGGTCAGCCTAAAACTACCCATTTGAACCTCTGTAGTAGAGGAAGAATAAACTTGCATCTCTTACAGACCATTGCAATTTGAAGTCACCTACACCTTAACTCACTCCAGGGCCAAGATTGAGACTCTGACTTAATCCTTCCGAGCACCACACCCCATTCACTAGCAAACACTTTTAAACCTTCATAAGAACTATCTCTGCAGTACTCACCACTTGCCCCAGGTTTTTTTTTTTTTTTTACTTTTCCTATATTTCCTTTACAATTTGTCTTCCAAACTATAAAGCTCCTTAAATGCTACTTCTAAGTTTTTATACAACCTCCCAGTTGTGAAATCCAGACGATTTACCCAGTCTGGATGTTATCTAACCCTGTTCACCTGAGCTCTGAAAAATTCTCTCTCTCTCTCTCTCTCTCTCTCTCTCTCTCTCTCTCTCTCTCTCTCTTTCTCTCTCTCTTCCTCTCTATGTATCACAAAAAGGCTGATTTTTAAGCTCAGCTTGAGGGCCTGCAAAATAGCTCAGCAGAATAAGAGCCTGCTTAATCAAGCACAGGGACCAGGGTTCAATCCACATGTCTTGCCACTCCCACCCCCAGACACTCTGAACTGCCCACTGACACTGGGCGTGATGGTGCATGCCTGTAATCCAGCGCTGGGAAGGCTGAAAGTAGGAGGATCATTAGGAGTCTGAGCTGCATAGTGAGACGTTGTATGAAATACATTAGAAGAAGAGGAAGAGGAAGAGGAAGGAGTATTGCCTGAGAAGACCTTTATTAGTAGAAGCTTCTGTGTTTGGACATTATTGAACAGTAGGCATTGCTTTGAGGGGATATAAGCTGTTGAAATGTGGCTAAGGCAACTAAGGGACTTTTCAGGCATGGGGTTCCAGGCTTTTCATATGGTTTAATCTTTCACAAATAGCTTTGTCTCCCCTGATTCCAAGTTCTGAAAGGTGTAGGAAAGCGGAGATGGCTCAGTAGAACAAGTGTTTGCCTGGCAAGTGTCTGAGTTCAATCCCCAATTTAAAATAAAAAAAAAGACTGAAACAAAAAGCACACATTTTTCTTTAAGGTGCAAAATTTTAATTCCAAGTAATATGAGCTATCAAGATTTGGGAAATTCAGTTAAACCTCCCAGAACTCTTCTCATCAAACAAGCAATAAGCAAAACAGTGGAAAGAAAGAAAGAAAGAAAGAAAGAAAGAAAGAAAGAAAGAAAGAAAGAAAGAAAGAAAGAAAGAAAGAAAGAAAGAAAGAAAGAAAGA